CTACCAAAAGAGACACGAACAAGTGAATACATGTCAATTGCAAACCCGTCGGAAACCAGGCACCGTCCACGAGATGAATCAGGAAGAATGCGCCTCAGCAGGACGAAGCGTGTGAATGCAACGGCAAACACAATGAAGACAAAACCATAAACCAATGACATGCCTCCTCAACCACAACCCTTGATGGCGAGAGCGAAAGAAACAGAAAGCACCCTATCTGTGGCCAAACCTAGCATAAGAAGTTACGAGTACTTTCCAGACACAGGTGTGGTTCACCAAAGCAAGAATCCTAAATCGAAGATTCATCATTGGTGACCTTTCTTCGAGTGATCCCCACCATGAATGTCATACAGATTTTGACATTCTTTCTGGCAAAACTTTCTGGCAGGGAAGAGGAGGAGAGGACAACTCTGATGAAATCTAGAGACCTTCGGTCTCTAGATTTCATGAGAGTTGCCCTCTCCTCCTCTTCCTCTTGGCATTCTATCTGGCATTTTCTCTGACATATGCTCTGCCATTCTATCTGACATATGTTCTGACATTCTATCTGACATGCTTTCTGGCATTCTATCTGGCGTTCTTTCTGGCATTCTATCTGACATTCTATCTGGCATTCTATCTGGCATTCTATCTGGCATGCAGTCTGGCATTCTATCTGGCATTCTTTCTGACATTCTTTCTGCCATTCTATCTGGCATTCTTTCTGGGATTCTATCTGACATTCTATCTGGCATTCTATCTGGCATTCTTTCTGGCATACTATCTGGTATTCTATCTGGAAATCTATCTGGCATTCTATCTGACATTCTATTTGGAATTCTATCTGGCATTCTTTCTGGCATTCTTTCTGGCATTCTATCTGGCATTCTATCTTGCATTCTATCTTGCATTCTATCTGACATTCTATCTGACATTCTATCTGGCCTTGAGATCCGGCAGTGCCGACTGGGATGTGGAGCTCGCCGTTCAGGCCGGGTAGTGCCCACTGAGATCGAGAGCTCGCGGTTGAGGTCCGGCGTTGTTGACTGGGATCGGGAGCTCGCTGTTGAGGTCCGGCAGTGCCCACTGGGATCTGGAGCTCGCGGTTGAGGTCCGGCGTTGCCCACTGGGATCTGGAGCTCGCCGTTGTGGTCCGGCGTTGCCCACTGGGATCTGGAGCTCGCCGTTGAGGTCCGGCAGTGCCCACTGGGATCCGGACCTCGCTATTGAGGTCCGGCGTTGCCCATTGGGATCAGGAGCTCGCGGTTGAGCCCGGCGTTTCTCACTGGGATCGGGAGCTCGCCGTTGAGGTCTGGCAGTGCCCACTGGGATCTTGAGCTGGCAGATGGGAGGCAGCGGGAGGTTTTCCACCCCCCCTCCGTCCCCCCCGCGCAGCCATGGTAAAATCTAGTAACCCTCACCTGGCAGGTGGAGAAATAAGTCCAACGTTTCCGGTCATGGCAACAGGCCACATAAACTGAGAAAAGCCAAAAAAGAAATCAGAAGACTATCTTCCAGAACGAAAATATTGACAACAATCAGGTACACATGAAACCGTTACTTCTGATCTCACACACAATCCAAAGCACCCTTTTGAAACAAGGCTTCGCGATGTCGTCCCCTTCTTGCAGTCATCCTGCGGCAATGGCCTCGCAGAGCGACATGCTTGGAAATGGGAAAGATCACAGTTAAGTCCCACAAACAAGACGTGTGAGAAGGAGAGACCGAATACAGTTAATAGAGATGAAGCTGGAGTGGGTTCTCGGGTCCGGGGTCTGAATCGTGATCACACCAGGTCCAAAAAAAATAGCGCAACAAGACCGCGACGGTATGTTTAATGGAACCCATTTCTTTGAGGGCGACATCTGACAGAACAGCTTCACCCATTTGCAGCAAGACCTACAGGTCTACCAAAAGAGACACGAACAAGTGAATACATGTCAATTGCAAACCCGTCGGAAACCAGGCACCGTCCACGAGATGAATCAGGAAGAATGCGCCTCAGCAGGACGAAGCGTGTGAATGCAACGGCAAACACAATGAAGACAAAACCATAAACCAATGACATGCCTCCTCAACCACAACCCTTGATGGCGAGAGCGAAAGAAACAGAAAGCACCCTATCTGTGGCCAAACCTAGCATAAGAAGTTACGAGTACTTTCCAGACACAGGTGTGGTTCACCAAAGCAAGAATCCTAAATCGAAGAAGGTAGATCCAAACAGGTAAAAGCCAAGGATCAAACAACACACAGACTTGTATGAGTACGCAGCACACAAGCATGGTGTGCAAAAGTTATGACCATGGCATTCATATCTTGTGTATTGCGTGGGTACCCGTCGCAACCAAGGCACTTTCCCAAGAGTTCTGAGAGCACAGAGGAGCTGACAGACAGCGTTAGCGCAGACCCGTCGCAACAAAAATCCATGGACAGCGCTGCGAAAACACAACTATGCAGCAACTTCGAAAAAAACACTGCGGCGAGAACCAGCACCTTTCTGCAGCAAAGACAAAAAAACGTCCTTTTCAAAAAGGACCAAGCAAAAGACTCCAGGAGTCTCTAGGTATATATACATATATAAATATATGTATAATATATATATATAATTACATATATATATATATGTGTGTGTATGGCACGTCGTCCTGCCACGTCATTTCTGGAATATCTTTGTGTCATCGGTTTCTGGCAGGAAAGAGGATGAGAAAACAAAGGTTTCTAGACTTCATCCGAGTTGTCTATATACGACTATGTATACGACTATATATACAACTATGTACTCTACCAAAGAAAGTCTGATATAGACGACTATACGACCAGTACTACCGCACAAGACGATGACGGAAATTTAAAGATAGGAACCTTTTGGAGAGGTTGGTTGCTGTGAAGGATAGATGGCAGAGCGAGCCAACTGATGGACCGACAAGTGGTTGGAGGCAGCGCAGTGTAGTTAGTTCTAATGTAATGTAGTTGTAGTTGTGCTTGCCGTTGTAGCTGTAGAATGTTGTAGATGTAGTTGTGGTTGTAACAGTAATGTAGTTGTAGTTGTAGTGAAAGTGCAGTGCAGTGTAGTGTAGTGTTAGTTGTAGTTTGCCCGTTCCAGTTGCCCGTTCCGGTTGCCCGGTTGGCCGGCTGACCGTGGCCCGGTTGCCCGTTCCGGTTGCCCGTACTACTACTAGTACTAGTACTACTACTGCGACTCCTACTACAACAAGTAGTACTAGCACTAGTACTAGTACTAGCACTAGTACCACTAGTACTACTAGTACTACTAGCACTACTAGTACTACTGCTACTACTACTACTACTACCACCACTACTACTACCACCACTACCACCACTACCACCACTACTACCACTACCACTACCACTACCACTACCACTACCACTACCACCACTACCACCACTACTACCACTACCACTACCACTACCACTACCACTACCACTACGACTACGACTACCACTACCACTACCACTACCACTACCACTACCACTACCACTACCACTACCACTACCACTACCACTACCACTACCACTACTACTACTACTACTACTACTGGTACTGGTACTGGTACTGGTACTGGTACTGGTACTGGTACTCGTACTACTACTACTACTACTACTACTACTACTACTACTACTACTACTACTACTACTACTACTACTACTTGAACCGTGGAACCGTGTGCCACGGTTCGGGCTCCACGGTTTCACAATTGAACCGTGCAACCGTGGGCCACGGTTTGGGCTCCACGGTTCGGGCTCCACGGTTTCACAGTTGAACCGTGGAACCGTACGCCCGTCCGCCACGGTTCAACCGTGGAACCGTACGCCGCGGTTCGGGCTCCACGGTTCCACGGTTGAACCGTGGAACCGTGTGTCACGGTTCGGGTTCCACGGTTCCACGGTTGAACCGTGGAAACGTGGGCCACGGTTCGAGCTCCACGGTTTCACGGTTTCCACGGTTGAGTTCCACGGTTCACGGTTGGAGAGTGCCCGGCTCCGCCCTTCTCTGCTTTTCATGCTTTTGCTTTTTTCTTGGATGTGCGTTTGGGCTGCCATCAAATATTAGCTGCAGAAACCAGGACATAGAAATAAGGATGAACATCATACACGTGTCAATACAATGACTGCCGCACAAGTTAAATTCGGCAATTTGTGGAGGGGACCCTTCTTTGAACTTCAAATTGCCTTTTTTAGTAAAGAAAGTTGTCAAAAACTGGTCCGTTTGGGAAACTATGTTTTTCTCAAATCCTGATCTAAAAGTTATTGACATATTACTTTTTTGTTTAAGGGTGTTTGCGTGTAATTTCTTCTCTTCCTCCTCATGCTTTTTCTGCTTTTGCTTTTTTCTTGGATATGTGTTTGGGCTGCCACTACTACGACGGCGACTACTACGACTAGTACTACTACTACTACTGCTGCTGCTGCTGCTACTGCTACTGCTACTGCTGCTGCTACTGCTACTTCTACTGCTACAACAACTATACTACTACGACTAGTACTACTACTACTACTACTACTACTACTACTACTACTACTACTACTACTACTACTACTACTACTACTACTACTACTACTACTACTGGCCGGTCAGCCGGCCAGCCGGTCGGTCAACCGGTTGGCCGGCCGGCCAGCCGGTTGGCCGGTCGGTCGGCGGTTGGCCGGTCAGCCGGTCGGCCGGTCGGCCAACCGGGCCGGTTGGTCGGCCGGCCGGTCAGCCGGCCGCCCGGTTGGCCGGTCGGTCAGCCGGTTGGCCGGTCGGTCGGCGGTTGGCCGGTCAGCCGGTTGGCCGGTCGGCCAACCGGGCCCGGTCAACCGGGCCGGTCAGCCCGGTTGCCCGGTCACCGGTCAAAACCCCCCTGGTACCGCCCTTCTGGAAAATCCACTATAAATGTCCATTTTCAATAGCTATGTTAAATTACCAGAGGGTATACCATAAAGACCAAAGGGGGGGAAGAAAACAACAACAGGCTTCAGTCCTCAAACATCCTCCCCCATCCCTTCTCTCCGGCCAGCTGCACTGAGCGTTGGATGAAACACCAAATGCCTGGGCCCTGAACCAGGTGCCACAGCCATGTGGCCTCGCAATCGCCTCAATCTTTGAGAGTGACGTTGGCAACATCCCAAGCAGCCGGCGGTACCCGGCTAAAGTCCATCTCCAGAGTTGCTGCTTTGGATATTAACATGACTGGTTGGTGGGTTCAACCCCTCTGAAAAATATTAGTCAAATCTGATTATTGTTCCCAATATATGGGAAAATATAAAATGTTCCAAACCACCAACCAGATGATATAACATGATCTGACCTAGATTAGTTCACCCCTGAAACATCCTGAAACATCCTGAAACATCGCAAGCTTCCACCGCGTCCGCATGATTCGAGCATCAAGTGGCAAGTTTCTCTCACCCTGCACCTGATAAGTCATCACTCGATCCAAGCCCAAATCTGGCACCTGAGAATAGGACTGTTCTATCTTGGGTAAGTTCCGGCCATGTCCGGCGGTCACGTGCGACGGTTGAAAACTGGTGTCTGAAAATAGGTGGTTTACCATGAGTTTATCGCCGATCACCACATGAAAAGGGGAAAATGATGAGAATCCTTGTGGTTTTTAAGGAGATTTCAAGGCAATGAAACACCTTATTTGCAGAGAAAGCCATATTTTTCCACGGGAATGAAACCAGAAATTTGCAGAGAAAGCCATGTGGATTTCCGGGGGACATCTCTTTGGGCTGCCCCAGGCGCCAGCAAGTGTTTGTTGGCAGCGTCGAAGTGTGCCATGTGGGGATGTGGCCCCTCTTGCCTGGGCAAAGGACACATTTCTGCTGGTGGTTCAGCACTCAACCAAGAGTATTCAGCCATGTACAATATATTATACATATCTTTAGTGTTCTATATATCTTCTTCTGAATTCTATATTTACTACATATCTATTATAGTATATATTTATTATATATAGATATACATATATTCTATAGATGGGGAGTAATAGGATTCACCATCCCCAACTTAAAGATTTTTATAGGTACCGTAAACCATCAAGATATATGGGTGGTTGATTATTATTTACTAACATTACAGCAAGATCTGGCTGTAGCTAAGATGGTGGGTTTTTTGTCGGCAGCCCATTTGGTGTCGAACCCCAACCATCTGAACTTCATGGAGACTGACACTTCTTACCCTGTGAGGATGCGCCCTGAAAATGACTAATCCCATCTCCCTGACATGAATATCCCCTTAAAAACGATGTTTTTTGGGGGGTGGGGCATCATGGGGGTATGTGATAATTATTAGGGGGATAGGATTAGTTCGCAAATGCTAGTCTGATCTAGAATCTACTTGGGATTCTTGAGGCCTACTTCTGATGGTTTCTGCCAAAATGGACCCATCAAATAGGAACCAACTCCCTTCGGTCCCCAAAATCAAGAGGATCCAATACATTCATGATTCGAGAAATGCTAGTGTCCTTGCCATCTATTTCCCTAGTATTAGTTATCATGATACCCAATAAATTCGGTAGTATCATTTAATGAAAAAAGGTCAACCAAGGTATAACTTTCATGGCTATCTTCGAACATCATTCCCTGCGTCCTGCGTCGTCCTGCCTCTCTTTGTTCACTCCCACGCCCAAGCTCTCCTAGCATCCGCTGAAAAACCACGGCGAGATACGAGGAGATCTGGCCGATATGGCGATATCCATGAAGTGTACCACATTTATCCCCATTCCATGACGAATTTCATGATTTTCATGGGGAAACTATGGGGAAACTATGGGGAAAGTGAGATTTTCCAAGGGGATACAGCGGCGCTCAGCGGAAGTTTTCAACGCTGAACGGATCATACTGGAAGTCCTCACACGAATTTTAAAAACCGATCATAGGGAGTATATGGTTTGTCTGAAAACTCTGTGGAACCACCCCACATGATGACTACAAACAGCCAACTATTTTTTGTGAGAAATAAGAAATCAATCTCGAAATGATGTATTGTCCATTGCCAAGCTATCCCCAAGTCCTTGCCATGTTCATTTCATCCCGATCGAAATGATACATGTTTTTTAGCCAAAAAGAAAATTAAAACAGTCTTGTTATATAAAATGTCTGCAGTTACTATTATTCTTATTTTTGTTTATCATAGTACAATTATAACATGATATTTCTACATTATTTTCTCCATCCATGTTATATAAAAGTCCCAGGTTCGCTATGTTCTTTGGACCAGGTTGTAGGTAAAACTTGGACATCTGTAAGTTTGCATCAAAATAGCTGGTATCCATGTTCAAAGAAATCCAACATCCATCTGCTGATGATAGTTGGTGATATTTCGCTGTTCATTCCCATTCATGTCCCATTCTGGTGATTTAGCAATTGAAAATGCTGCTTTGTATATGGGGGTTTCCTAAATTCGGGGTACCCTATGGTACTATCATCCACTTACAGACGGATTTTCCATGAAATAAGCCATCCAGCGATATATTGGGGTACCCCATTTTAGGAAACCCCCATATAGTTCGTTCATTTAGCTATTAAGTCGGTGATGTTCCATGGCAACTTGTTTTTGTTTACCAAGCTTCAGCCAGCTGCAGGTCTGAGCGCTGGGAAAGTTTGCCTTCCGCGCTTAGCTGAAACAAAGCCACCTGAAAGCTGCAAAGAATGGAGGGCCTCTGGAGCAAAAAAGGATGTTAGGCTCAAGTGGCAGTGTGTCAAAACCTTGTACCCCTGGTGAACATCAAAATAGCTGGTAAATGGATGTTCATCCCCCTAAAAATGGTATTAATAGGTATTGATCCCATACCCAAGTGGAGCTGAAGGAAAACTGGGATTTTCACGAAAGCAAGTGAGAGTCAGAGTTGAATGACCAACGAATTTGGAACTTGATGCAAGAAACGTGACGATTGTACCCACCAAAATCTACCTAACTGGGATTTTTTTACCCACAACAGTTTGGACAGTTGACATGTCCTTTTGCATTTAAAAACAAGTAGTTTAAAAGGAGACAAACTGATCTGCCAGATTCGGTACAGTTTTTGTCAGAGGTCGGCAGATCAAAATCGCTAAAACCCATGCAATGGATCATTTTGCTGCCAGATATTTATCTAATGGAAATCAATGAAAATTTCATAACCTGCTATGCTAAATAAGACCTACCCTCTGGTTATGTCAAAATAGCTATTGAAAATGACCATTCATAGTGGATTTTCCCATTAAAAATATTAAAAATGGTGATTTTCAATAGCTATTTTGACATAACCAGAGGGTATCCCAACTTCAACACTTTGACATCCAGGAACCCGGCAGCCACTATGGCCGAAGGTTTTTTTCTCTCACTCAATCCAAAGAATTGGATGGCGAAACCTGGTGCAGTCCCTGGTTTCAGTACCTTGTGTGGTAAAAAATGTAGAAAACACCAAATATCTACCAGCACAAAAACATGGTAAATCCATGGTAAATCCAAGCCCAAAACCACTTATAAATTGTTTTGTCTGAAAATCGTGTACCCCATTCCATCCATTGGTAAATAATCATCTTCCAAATGAAAATTCACATTTTGTGCAGCTATGCAAACCATTTTCAGAGCACACCCAAATTAAATCGAGCCATAGTTAAATAGATGATGTTCACATGATGATGTACCTATTATTTCAATAGTGCCAGTTCGCAAACCGTTAGGAAAATTTCACATGATGATTTATCTATATTTACATATTAACTGGTTGGTGGTGCAATTTTAAAATTTGAGTTCGTCAATGGGAAGGATGACATCCCATATATGAAATGGAAAATCAAAGCCATGTTTGAAACCACCAACCAGTCATAGATTACCAATTGATTAGCCATTAGTATCCCATCATTATCCCATTTTCATATGTTATCCCTTACCAATGATTGTTCATATCCCATCATTTAGCATAACCATTAGCAAATAAAAAAAACGGTGCATAACCATTAAAAATGGTGCATATTCATATCCCATCATTTACATATTAAAATGGTGCATAACTTGCATAACCATTAGCAAAACCCTTCGGAAAATCACCAAATCATCGTTCCTTAGCAAAACGTGGCTCTGATTCGAGTGGCTGATCCACCATAGTTGGCCACCGCCAAGGTCCGCTCGTTTCCTACAAAAAGGAAGATCATCTGGCCGTTTTTCTGGGTAAGTTACGGGACAAATATGGACAAATAACACACACATATAATATATATATATGATTATATATGTACAAATATGTGTAATGAAGCGGAATCGCGGATTGAAGTCTAGTGGGCTGGGATCGGCATGCTTCTGAACAGGAGGTGTCAAACAGGTCAAATGGAAGCAATCCACATCTATTGGCTCTCAATTCCTGATCATCGATATGTAAGCAACATATTCTTATTGCAATGGTCCCGTGTTGCAAGTCCGAAGCCAGAGAAATGTGTGGAAGTGTGCTTTGATTTGCTTTTCCAAAACAGTATATAAAAATGCACAAATGTGCTAACCCGATATATATATATAGAATTATATGTGTGTATATGTATATTATACATCTATAACTGGCTGAATTCTAGTATACGATAGGATTTTGGGGGGACCTGGATAAATCATATAGTAATTCACCAAGCCAAAATGGTCAGTTCCAGTATTGGGGGGTTTCAATCCGAAGAGGAGATGATTGGATTGTCGGGGATATGTGCTCATGCTATGCTCATGCACCGTAGATCTTCTGTATATTTCTGCATCCCTATACTAATTAATTAAGAAATACACTTATTTCCAGGTTGATGTGAAGATAGTATTCAATCTTCCTATCCTGAGTGAAGATGTCAATGAATCTTCATTTACCGGATATGAGGGCTTCCATAGTCATGGGGGTACCCCAATAGCTGGATGGTTTATAGTGGAAAATCCCAAACAATAAATTAGATGAGTTGGGGGTACCCCCATTTCCAGATTGATTCATATTATTAGTTATCATTCATATCTTCACTTCTCCGGCTGAATTACAAGCACCAAGCTGAAACGTGGACTGCATGGCAGAGGACGACTCATTCTGCGTGACGCCATAACGTGTTGACATCGTTACAAGTTACCGAAACAAATGGGAATTTGACATGAAATGATGCTTTCAAACCAGACATGATGGTAGTTAATTCATGTCAATTCCATTCCATAGAGAGCCATTGACTCCAATAATCCATCCATAATCCATCCAATAGCTGGTTGGTGTATTCAATATAGAAAAATATAGATACTATAGATTATAATTACGGTAAATGGGCATATGAAACAATAATTACTTAGATTCAAAAACAACAGTAATTCTTTTTTTTGTCTAGTTGGCAACTGATCAATAACGGGGATGGCAAGCAAAAAGTGACTCAAAACACCAATCGAATGAGCAATTGACATGGTTCCCGTATTCCACTGACTACGTTTGTCAGTTTGAAAGGGATCCACAATCTTTGCCGTGAACATGGGCAGTGGCTCAACCCTTTTCAAATACATACTCAGAACTTAGACTTGCTCAATGTCTTAAGCCACTCAATGCATAGGGTCTTGACTCTTAACTGGTTCTGAAAAGAAAAAAACATGGCCCCACATGTTTTTTCTCAGGCTTTCATTCTCCCAAAAACACATGATGCAACGATCCACCGTTTCTCTCAGTGGTGTCCAACCCCCCCTCCCGCGGCCACTGCGGATCAAGGGTCTCGTGAGCGACACATGGCAAGCGATGCTGCCGCCAGTGAGCATGCTGTTCAACAACTTCAACTGTCCCGTTCGAGCCTTGGGAAATGGGCTGTAAAAAATGACTGACCACCGAATTTTTGGGGGAACTTACCATCTGGTTATGACTAACAGTTTGCCATGGAAAGATCCACCATTTTTAAGAACGGTAAACCATCTATTTCTATGGGCCATCTATACCATGGCTATGTTAGTCATACCCAGAGGGTATATCACATTATATCGAAAAATGGAAACAATGGGGATGGAACGTTAACCTTGGGATTTTGAGGGATTTCTCAACATTCTCAGACAAACCCAACTGAGGCATGAAATTGCATTGTCCGGGGCGAAGACGGTCGGAGTTTTTGGGGAACCACCCCAACTTCAAAGAAGCGACCGTTCGGCTGGATGTTTTCTCAAGCGACCCTAAGTTGGATTGCGCCACCCGGAAAAAGTGCCATGGGAGTTCAGCTTCATATTGACAGTTTGATCGGAAAAAATCCGCAGGACATTCTCCAAAGTCATCTGGGAAAAACTCAAAGGGTTTTAATTTGGAAGATCATCCTATGATATTGATATCCCACCTAGAAACTGGTTCAGAGTGAATGATGCTTGTAGGGGGATCAACTTCGATTGTAGCCCCAATAGTCCGGCCAGAATGAAGGGTAGCCATGGCCTTATCGACTTCAAAGATCTTGTGTGACTTACGCCGTTGATCAATGGGCACACAGTTGACCACTTCAAATTACTTCCATGTGTTGCTCTTTTCCAACAGACTCGGATAGAAAATTTACCATCTGGTTATTTGACATAGCCATGGAAAATCCCTCATAAATGGAGGTTTCTAGCTGGGAAATCATCTATTTCTATGGGTCATCTATACCATGGCTATGTTAGTCATACCCAGAGGGTAATGATAGACTTCTGATGGGTTAGGGCCTAGGGGTCATGCCAATGGATTCCAGTTCCATCATGACAGCAGCACTCCATAACACTCAGTTTGGCCGAGGAACATCAAATGAATATGCAGACACTGTACCTTCTTCTGGTACCTCCAACGGCACCGATGGTATATGTGGGGATGAGTTTGTAAGAAGGGAGCACTATGGTAAGCAAATTGTCGAACACTTTGTGTACTTCAGAGAAAGACGAGTCTCAATGATATCAGAATCCAAGGTAAAGTAATGTGGGATAGATGTCCCCCCCTTCTCAAACTGAGAAAATGAGAAACATTGCAAAATCCCTCAAATACGACCATGCAATTCCTTTTGATTCTAGGATTATGTGTTCAATTCCAAGTTGGAGTTGCCAGGACAACCCCTTTGCAGGACATTGTCCCAGATCGGTGGGCAAGGATTTTTCAAGCGGAAGTACATGGAAGTTCCTTACCAAGGAAGACAGATTCAATATGATTTCATTATCCCAGGCAATCTACAGCATCCTCTTTTCTGGTATCATCCCCATTCTTTCTTCTAGTTGTTTCACAGCATGTTGCGAGTACAAAACGGTTTCATTTACCACTATTAAGCCACATGACATGTCTGCCTTTTTGAGGAGCTACTAGATTACTAGATTGCTTGTTACTCACTACTTATAAAACTTATCAATGGCCATTTCAGGAACCGATTGATTGGAGGTACCTACCATATATAAGGCCTATTTTTGAGGCCTATTTTTTTCGGCCTAAATTTCAGGGAATATCCCCACAAAAGATGGCCAAAAATATGGTACTAACGTACCTCCATCTGTTGGATCCTGAAGATCTCCCACGATATCAGCGATATCACCACCTCGGAGACCGCATAGATTCGAGTACGTTCGCTGTTACTGCACCTGGGACGTGGTGAGATCAATGAGATCAGCAGAAATGGTGAGACTTCAGCGACACAATTGGGATACCCTCTGGTTATGTGAAAATAGCTATTGAAAATGGCCATAGAAATAGTGGATTTTCCCATTAATAGCATGGTGATTTTCCATAGCTATGTAAACGTTTACCAGAGGGTATACTCAAGAAATCTCAACATAATGAGGACACAATGGGGACATAGTTGGGGCATGGGAATTGATGTGAGCGAAGTTGGAAGTTTGAGGCTACCCTAAACCCAATGGTACCCACAGTGCTGGGATTAATTCTGGATTTCATGTTCTTCAATGTCTGGCTCTGTTCTAATTCCGATAGTTTGCTTGAGAACAGGATTCTCATAATGCAAACCTAGGATGATTAATAACCACCCAGTCTATATGAATAGAAGGTAACCAATCTTACGGCAATCTGAGCAGTATTGAGTAATAAGTGATCACTAGTTTGGGGTTGACATGAGCAGGATATACTAGGTGTCTACCATGATCCGCAGCTTAGATGCAAACCCGGAAGCATCTGCTGAACATGTCTGGAACATGAAATGGGTGAAGCCCCTAAAAATGTCTAAAAATCAGATGAGATTCACCTCAACCCTTGCGCCAAGCGTTTCATCCCAGTGGCATGTAGGTGGGACAAGGGAAGTCGGAACAACCTGAACCAAACACAGGGCAGATGTGAGGACACTTCAAGTGGTTGTGGTCAAAAATGGTCAAAACCCTGGTACCTCGGTACCCTAATATAAATAGCTGGTTATAATGGATGGTAATTCCACAAAAATATATGGAGAAACTATGGTAATAATATATGTTTTGACATGTTTTGACCCATCCCCAAGTCATCTTGGTGAAGACTTCCAAACAAATACCCGAGACGGCCGTCGGCCATGGCCCTCTGGCTTTCCGTGTTCTGCACCACACCCTGACAGCGTCCATTGTGGCCACTTCCATGTACTCAACAGATTCCGCACCTGTAACGTTTGATCAAACGTGCAGCGGGCTCCTATAACCTCCACATATGGTGAGTTTGTCTTAATGGGAAATCCCCAGGTTCCATGGTCGATCATCGTGTTCCTTAAAAAAACAGGCAATTTGATGCCAGCAAAAACCATGGTATACCCTGTTTTCCGACAACTTTCAGACCCCGAAAACTCGATAAACCTCGTCCCTGGAAGACCAAGAAACTCCAGTGGAAGACCAGGTTTCCGAAGCTCCCATCCCCCCTGCAGTGTGCAATCTCGAAGAAATCAAGCGATGCTGAGCTGAGAGATGGTAAGAGATAGTAAGATCACCTAAAGATCTTCATAGGACCTTCCAGAAAATCCGGTTCTTACAGTAGGATACCAGTAAGATCCAGTAAGAATTAAATTGCTAAAAAGCCATTTTTGAGTGTGGCTGTCTAGCTGTATCTAGCGCTGATATCCACAGTCAACATCACTTTCAGCAGCAAAACGCACAAATTCTGGAGCAACAATTCGCCATTATTTATATGAAGTTCTGGTTATTTCTGGTTGGTGGATGTTGGTGGTGTTAATCCAACCAATATTTTTTTGAAGATGAATGATTGATAATGATTGATAATCCTTGAATCATCATGAGTCTGGATCAAGAACTGGCTCCGCCCCACTGCAACGATTCGGGCCTGTGCTCACGTCGGTACACAGAAATCCCCTGAGCAGCAAATCTTGGATTCACTGGAAGAAAATGGAAAAAGGGAATACCCTCTGGTAAACGTTTACATAACTATGGGAAATCACTATTTTTCATGGGAAAATCCACTATAAATGGTGATTTTCCATATATAGGTACATGGAGGTTTCCTGAAATGGGGGTACCTCCAAATCATCTATTTTCTGGAAGCCCCATATGAAAAATCAGTCTGCCTAGTGACTATCTGACTATGAAAAACTACGGTTTGAAAACGACGTGACTTCACCAAGGCCAGCTCGGCCGCCTTGGCATCTTCCACGCTGGGGGACATCACATGGCCCAACTGCAAGGTGTAAGCAGACACCAAGATGTACTGCAGGCGGCGTCCGAGGTGAAAATGGAATCGCCCCGGGGGAAATCCTGGATATTTTTTCGACGATTTTTGTTTCGAGTACGGTCAAATGGGTTTGTCTGAAAATAGTGTACCCCTACACCCAATGGTTAATGATCATTATCCCTATTAAATGGCTATAATTGGGAATATACCCTATTTTCAGACAAACCCAAATAAACGGATACATTCCGAGAAATTGGAACATCACCAGCAAAACAGATTGACTCAAGGAAAATCCGGAGAAAAAACAAGGGTAGGGCTTGGAAGCAGATAACTTAGACATTCAAAAATACCTCCCAGGTTGTTGTTTATCCAATATTCAAAGTGTTGACCAAGATGTGAATATCCTATTTATCCATTATCCAGCTTGTTTAATTTTATCCCATATCATCTCCAATATCCTATGACTTATAACCTACCCATTGCCCTATCCATAGAATCCTATCCACAGATTCGTTATCCAGTTTCATCTCCAATATCCTATCCTTAGATAACTGGATTTTCCAAATAATAGGATAATATTTCATCTCTAATGAATATCCATATTACCATAGTATCTCTTACCCATTATCCATATTTATATCCATAATATCCTATCCACTTTCGACCCATCGAGATTAGATCCATAGATTGTGTAACCATCAACCTCTTGGGCCCCATTTCAATCATGTGATGGTTAGTACGAAAAATGACTGTGAAAAATGGATGGATTTTTTCATACTTAAAAACCAACAAAAACAAATTGTTACATGGATCTGATTGATATGATTATAGAAAGATCATCACCAAAATCCATGGTCACCTGGGCATTTTTATGTTTGTTTTACCGTTTTACCGCATACCCAGCCATTCCCCCTGCTCACCTCAGTTTTGGACTTCCCAGGTGGCTTCGATGCGGGGCGTTTCAGCACCGCTTTCGCTGCCTTCGCCTTCGCCTTGGCTTTGGCTTTGGCCTTGGAAGGATGGCTATGGGGGTTTCCATAAATGGAGGTACCCTACTAGCTGGATGGTTTATTTCATGGGAAATCCCATCTATAAATGGATGATAACTGGGGGTACCCCTATTTTAGGAAACTTCCATTTGTTTCCCTGGACCGAAGATTTTGAACCATACGCAAGTCAGTTCCTGGGTTTGATCAGAAGTGCAAGCCCCTGATTCGCCGGTGTTACAAATCTTGAACCAACCACATGATCCCACAGTGGCTAGTCATATCAGTATCTTGTTGCTTGTTTAAAGGTTATTCCAATCAAACTCTTAGCAGATTTTTTCAGATGCGAACAGCAACTATAATGTTACCTAATCATGTGCCTAGAAATTGAAGATCATTAAATCATTAAAGCAACTTCCCCAAGTTTCGTACAATGTTCATTTACATTCCACGATTTCCCCTTTCCCAACCAAAAAAAACATGGCCGTGGCCTTCACTTTCGCCGCAGGCCGCTTCATGACCTCGATGGCTAAGTATTGAAACATTGTTTCTATAGTGAAACCCATGTTGACATTGGTGACTTGGACCCCTATGACTTAGGAAGCCACCATGACTTTCAATTTTCGATAGTAAATGAATGTAAATTACTTTTCGCCGGATGAGAATGGGATAGAATTGTCAAGCTGGCTAGCTTTGAGTAGCTGTCGATTCCCTCCCAGTCTCCCTCATACAAAATCCGTGGGTCGCAATGAGTGTTGAGTTTCACTTTTTATGCGATACTACCACTTGTTGTCGATTGCATTTGGTCTGAGGTGGTAGATGTCAAACCAATATAGCACTTCTTCCATCATGGCAGGGTGTGATTCTTATGGGCTCAAAAAAGTGTTGAAACGGTGAGCCCTGGTGGCATGTCCCAAAATTATATAGTTAGGAGAAACACAACTCGGTCGTTGCAAGTATCGTTCACCCCACCATTTTAAAGCTCTCCTTTGCCAAGTGACATCTCCTTTCGCCATAAGATGTGCCGAATGACAGCCTTTTCTGCACAGTTTTGTGCAGCAGTTCTCTTCAGCTGTTTTTTGTCAAACTTTCAAGCTTTCAAGCTGTTTGGGGACTATCGATTCTTTAGCTCCCGTTTTGACATAACAATCTACCCCAAGGTTGCAAGGGCACAAAGCTGAACATGCTGAACTGCCCAAAATTTGTCAAAGTTTCAAGCTGCTTGGCACAAATCTACTCTCTTCGTGCTGCGCTACAAGATCAGTGTCTCGCAATGAATGTCTTGGGATGGCTGGGTACAATCCGAACAGGGGCGAGGTAGATGTTTTGTGGGACATCATGAGGCTTTTTAGGGGGTTTTCTGTCTGTTTTTGTCTTCCGAAAAGTGTTGAAAAAAAGTTTGGGACCCTAAAGAATCCCCCTGTTTTTTATGGCTTATATCTTATATCTTGATGGCTAGATTGGCTCGCTATTCTTGCTGGATTGACCCAAAGTTGTCTGTATAGTCCTACTTGCGCATACCTTAGATATAGATGGGGACATCTAAAAAAGACATCCATTGCTTGTGTCAGATCCTGTAAAAAATCGCCATGAAGTTTTTTTTTGAGCCAAGTGGTTGAGATTTGCACCCGAGTCACTCGAGTCCCAGAAGGTAGACGCTACCCAAAAAAATGGGGCTCTTAGTGAAGTCTGATTAGTCTGATTAGTCTTCTGTCTGATTCAGCAATGGGCCAAAGATTAAGATCTGGTAATTTAACATAGCTATTGAAAATGACCATAGAAATAGTGGATTTTCCCATTAATCATGGTGGATCTTTCCAGTTCGCTATGTTAAATTACCAAAGATTTTCAGATCTGCGTTTGGGATGAAACAACCAGGTGAACTCTCACAACAAAAAAGGGATGAACCCTTCGGCGCACCATCTGACGGTGTCGAAATGTGAGATGTTTTAGAAAGGTGTCTAAATGAGATCAAAGATGCCCCTACCAATCAGATTATTGTGTTTTAGGTCCTTTAGGTTTAGAGGATGGTAGCTTCTTTTCCAAGTCTTAACATTCTTAACTGTCTGAAAAAACAGTGACTGACATTGTCATCCATAAAGGATGATAAAGATATACAACGATATACATAAAATGCTGAACAAACAAAGATCTCCAGCTTCGTCCTTTTCATCGACCCAGTGCCCACCAGCCGGGCACTGACCAACAGCCCTTTCGCCATGACTTTAGCATTTTTTCATCGTCCCTTCCCAGATGGATAAGATCTGCTGTCCCAAACTCCTAGCTGGTTACGATCAAATCTCAATCCCAGCAGCACACATCTTTTCCAATCAAACTGTGCTGCCACGCAGCAATACTCCTGAGACAGGAAATCTGTTTTGGACCTACCTGCAAAAGTCAAACAAATATGGACCATTTCCGAAGTCATGGGGGTACCCCCAGTGATCATCCATTTTAGTAGTGGAATGTTCCCATGAAATAAACCCATCCAGCGAGCTATTGGGGTAGCTCCATTCCAGGAAACTTCCATGGCAGTGTGACATTGAGGATCAATCCCGGCAGGTTTCGTAGACATTGGCCCCCAAATGCCCCCCAACGAATGAAGGGGGTCCCAATATGATGACACAACACATCAGAATCTTGGGCTCTCGGACTCAAACTGAGTCCGAAACTTGAAGACTTCAAACTACAAAACTTCCACGAAGCACCCAACCATAGAAATATACTACTGTGTCTATCTGTGCAACGATGTTTAAATCACACACGCAACCAAAGGTTTTTTTTCGCACACTCCCCACGCACAACTCCTGTTTCGAACGTCAAAAAGCACGTCAAACACCTGCAGTCCGGGGAAAAGGCTTGGAGCAGCCAGCCCGACTTTTTCTCCGGAGATGGAGTTTGGATGCCATTTCGAAGCGTCAAAGATGAACAGATTGTTCATTCAGAGATATTCGACCCCAACAAACTAATTAAACATAAAATGTTCAATAGATCTAGGTTGCTTTCCCAGCGCAATCTGAGTTTTTTTTGCACCGATTCCTGGGGACATTCGATTCTTTCACTCTCGGCATTGCGAAGCAGTTCCTTACGCGAATGCAGATCACTTCTATGGCTGCGGCTCGAAACAGTGGCCTTAAACATTGATGGTTCAATATGCTTCAATATGGTTTATGCTTCAATATGGTTTATGCTTCAATGTGGTTCACGGCTCAATATGGTTCAATATGGTTCAATAGCACAAAAATCACCAGGCCAATATGTTTCAATACCACAAAAATCACCAAACTTGTTGCATGTGATATCAACATATATCCACAGGAATGGGTCAACAGCCTGGAACCCTACCAGTAATGTCCCTGATGTCCCTAATGTCCCTGGCTCAGTGATGTCAGACTTGTTGGATATATATATATGATTGAGTATGTTTATATATATATATACATTACATAATATATATATATAGGATCTATAATATATCAATTCTGGCTGAATTCTACGTCAGGAGCCCAAAACCGCTTTTCAGGAGGGGTTCCCCTTATTTCCTTACTAACCAGGCGACCAATTGAGGTCATGAGCCTCTTCCAGAGTCCAAGTTTTGTTTCAAAGCAAACACAAACAACTTGTCAATTAGATTTTTTCATTGGATAGTTAAAGTGGGTTTACCACCAGGGTCATGAATTTTCCAAATTGGGCCCCAAAAAAACATCCCATATCATCATCATCATCATCATCATCATCCCATGTTTCTGTTGGTTTAACCACCATTTTAAAACCGTGATTTGGATAGGCAAATACCATCCCCTGGTGCCAGTGATTCTGACAAATAGCTACGATGAACACAGATGAATTGTGCTTTCTGAAGTGAACCAGTTGATTTCACTTGATGTGTATACATATCATATATATATACATACCATATGGAATTATAACTGTTTAATGTCAAATACATAGGTATGTCTGAAAATGGGTATACCAACATAAATGGCAATTCAATAGGGAATGTGATGACTAGTCAGTGAATTTGGGGTATATCCCATTGTTGGACGTACCCAAATATCGAAGAGTTGCTTACATATCTCATGATATTCTTCTTTCAAGCCCATTCTTTGATGTTGAAAAATCTCAAGTTCTAGTGGTTATATCATGTTATATCCCCTATAAATCTTGATGATTTAGCCTCTGGTAATCAAACATTAAACATGGCACCACTATGAATGGAGGTTTTTTTGTGGGAAAATCATCGAACTCCGAACTCGATGGTGGATTTTCGAGCCCAATCCCGGGCAGCAGCCCCGATCGCACCATCAAAGTCGGTTCCTTCGAAAGGCTCAGCCGCTGGGAAGTCTTCTTTCGCGGCAGTGCCAGTTCCTGCCAGAAGTGAGCCATCGATCTTGGGAAAATATCATCCGAGAAATATAATATATATATATATACATACATACAATGACATGTTATGAATGCAAGGCTATAGTCTATATATAGTGACTTTTTTTAACTATCAGGATTTCCAACTGGAGCCCTAACATAGCCACTCAGCCTAACACGGCCATGCTCCCAAGACAGACCCTAAACCACTGGGAAACTTCGGGGACACCGGCAGCTTAAAATCCAAAGCATGTGTGTCATGGCCAAAACATGGTGTATAATATATAAATAATATATATAATATATAATATAATATAATATATATATATAACATATATATTATGTAATATATAATGTATAATATATAATATATAATATATTTAATATATAATATATATAATATATATAATATAATATATATATATATAATATAGTGGCAGGGACCTTTGGGGTCTATTTCGTTCCTCCTCGCACAAACGTAATCAAACGTCATTCTATATGCATATATACTATATACACAAGTAAATATGTCTACATGTGTGTACAAGTTCAACAGAAAGTCGCAATTTTTTCCCTTGCCCCTCAACCTGCGCAGCGTCCGTTTTCTGCTCCAAGAGATGCTGTCACCAGCACGCGCGAACGCACGCCAATTTGAACTCTGGGCAGAAGAGTCCTCCAGTGTCAATTGTGTTGCTTTCCATCCCTGCAAGCTACAAAGTTTGGGAATGCGCATGCAAGTTTGGAACTCTTGTGCGCTCATGCATGGGAATGTTTTGGCTGTCAGGAGTTTGTAGTTGTTCAACTGGTTGCATGCTTAGTAATAAGCATAGTTTTATAGAAAAAACACCTTAAAGGAACCTCATGGGCATGTAACACAAGCAACAAAGCAATGCAAACATGTTCCACCACTTCCACCTGTAGTGATGAAGAGGGAGGGTGATGGCGGCCAACCCCCTTCATTTTGTCATACTCATCACTTCATTGTTTTGGCCCCGCTGTCGTCCCCTCTCAGGATCCTTTGAATGAAGAAGAGTTGCAAAAGCAGACCTTGGACCTCTTGGTGAACTTTGCATACAGGCTGCAGATGGATGGCCTGATGCCTGACCTGCCAGAACAGCCACCAGGTGAGCCCAGTAGTGGATCTGGTTTTCTGCGAGAAGTGGAAGGTTCTAAAGCCAAACACCCAGGTGCACCACTACTTGAAGCTTCTATGGCAATGGCACCTGGCCCAAGTCCAGGTATCTGCGCGTCTTCACCAGCCAGTGCAACTACGGTTTTGCCAGTTCAACCTGATGTTGGTTTGTTGGCACCTGCCACTCCTGAAGTACCCCCTCTGAGGCTTCAGCAGCATGCATCCCCAAAGAACTACCTGGTCCAGTTCCAGAAGCAATGGGGGAGGTTGACCTGTACTCCTTCTTTATTGCACCAAACAAAAAGGCTCTCAAGCTTCGACTGGGCCGTCCTCTGCTCAAGATGTATCTGATAGGAAATTCATACATTTTCTCAAGCATCATATGTTTCTATGGTCTTGCTTTCTGTGTGGGATTCAAGTTTCTTGATCTATGCATTTAGTATTGTTCATTCTCAGGTACCAGAGTTCGTGCCTCCTCGAGGAACTTCTAGTGGAGGTTGGTTCAGGAAAGTTTCTGGGCTAGTAGTTGCTTGGAAGCTTGGAGAAGCGCACAGGATGAGATGCCTACTATA